GGGTTGAATTTTGTTTCCTGGAGCCAGAAGAGGGGTTTTCTTCTTTTCTTTCCTTTCTTTTTTTTTTTTTAATTTTTTTTGGTCGTGCACCTGGCTTGTCCCCCGAGCGCAATATTCTTCAATGGAAACGGACCTAATAGGTGTGAGTGTGTGTGTGCCCCGAGCTCGCGCGTGTGATGGGAGGTATAAATAAATGAGCGCCGGTGCGGCGGTGTCTATGGCCGCGCTCTGTGTCTCCGAGCCCCTAACACTAATGTCGGGATCAAAGGGCAGCGGCGGAACAAGCACAGCTCACAGCTCGCTCTCGCTCTCGCTCTCTCTCTCCCTCGCTCGCTCTCCTCTCGCGCGCGCTCTCTCTCTCTCTCTCTTTCTCTGTCACACATACACTCACACACACGGAGGCACAGACTGAGGGAAAGAGCGAGAGCTAGACACACACACACACACACACACACACACACACACACACACAGCAAAGAGGAAGGTGCCCTAAGGCTCCCAGGGCGGACTCAGCCAGGGATTTGCAACCGCTCTCTGTGGAAAGAATGGGGGACGCGCGTGCGGGGGTGGGATGGAGTTCTTCGAATTTATCCCGCTAGTCGCCAAATCGAGGGGTGGGGGGGGGAAAGTTTTCCCCCACTCTTGAAACGATTGCTGCATTATTCGTCCTGATTTTTAAAAAAGGAAATAGATTTGCCTCTTAACTTTCTTTTGTTTATTAAACTACATGTTCTTCTGCACAAAATTCTTCAGGGTGTTGTCCCCAAAAGAATGGCTCTCTTATCCCATCACCTGAAGCATCAGGAGGTGACAGTCTCCCATATACTCTTACAAACATTCTAATAAAAGTAATTTTTAAAAAACTAAAAAGATAGCATATGGTGAAATCAATAAGTAGGTTGATGGAATAAGTGCCCAGTTTTGGAGTGTCCAGTGGAGTTAAAGCTGAAAAAAAATGCTGCCTAAATGACAATTACAGCTTCTTGACAAAGGGTGGGGTTGGAGGGGGTATAAGATTAGGTCACCCCTGATGGTTGGCTTAACTGCTACATGATACTCGTACAGTGCACACAGCAATTTTGACTTCTGAAATCTACCTTTTTCCCTATTATAATTCAGGTATATGAAGCTTACACTGAAGCAATTCCAGTTTGCATTATGAGCCCAACATAGCAGTTTTCATTAACTGGTACATACTTTTCATTACTTTACAAATCACACATCTTTCTTCAAAGAGAGACATGAAGGGGAAAAATAGAATAGGATGGGTCTCACTCTAGCACAAAAGGTACTTGGTGAAAGAGGACTGTTCTCTTTGTGACTTGGAGTCATTTGGATAAAAGTTCACTCAGAGGTTGTTAATTATTTAAACTCCAAAACCTGCTACTATAATTGAAGTAAAAATGGTCTGAAGAAGAGTTGTTTCATAAAACTCTCTTTGTAAGAGGAAACTTTGAACTTAAGCAGAATACATTATATGTCATGAGTCAGATGTAGCTACAAAAAATAAAAAGGTGCATTATTTAAGTACGTCTTCCCTTTTTAGCTTTTTAAAAACTCTGACTCATCATCTCATTATGTTAAATATTTTTCTTACCAATTTTAAAATAGACTTTTTCATCAAAGAAGGTGGAGGCACGGGGAACGTACAAAACATTAAAATGACACTTATAAGCTTACATAGATAGCTAATGTCTCTTTGAAGTTCTGACTTAATTCTCACAACTCAAGTGGTGTTAAAGACAGCCACGGGGGTTAAAGCCCTATGTACCCCTTCAAAAATAACAGCAAGGCTTTATATTGCACACTGTTATTAGAGAAGCTTAAAAAGTGTTGTATCTCCCAAAAGATATTTTTGTTCATTAATAATAAAAATCTCAGGATGTATAAATACAGATGTAACCCCACCATTCTCCGGAGCATTATCTCAATTCGTTGAGGTTCTGCTTCCCGGCATATATCGACAGTTTGGCTCAAATAAACTCACAAAAATTAAAAAAAAAAAATCTCAGGCTGACACCCTCCCTGACAATTTCCTTGAAAGATCTAGCTTCCCAATGACAAGTAATGCCATCTGAAGCAGGTATTAAAACACCTGCTTGAATTCAATCTAAAACCAATGCAGAGAAACAGTCAAGTTTAAAATGAAGCATCATCCTTAAACATTCCTTGAATGTTGGCTTATTAAGTCTCCCCATGTTTCAACTTGAAAATTGTGACTATGTTTCAACTCAGATCAAACTCAATTCGCCATGACTTTGATTATTGTCACTAGTGTTGGACTTGAAATTAACATATGAATGATAAATCCGAGCCCATCCATTCCAAGTAGACTGGCTGCCCTGAGTGTGTAGGATCTTTAAACCTAACACAGAGTCAACGGAATGGTCGCAACACTCCACCATTCTCCCTCGGAACCTTTGGCTAGGAGATGGAGGACTATTGCTCCGCATGGACACACCACCACCTTTTCCTGAATTGCTATGACTCTTTACAATGCTTAGTACACTGTAATTGAAAACACACTTTAGGCCTTTCCTCAAAGTCGAGTACATTTCCTGCGACCTTTTAAAGGCGGGCAGGCAAATGCTGTCAACTTTTAATTATATAGGTGTTCTAACAACAGCCAAAAGCATTATTAAATTGAATTTATTCATATCTCTACCTCTTTCCAAAAAATCATTTGAAATAGTACACAACAATAGAAAATGGAAATAAGGACAGAACAATTTCTGTTTAAATCTCAGCTTGGTATCTCTCCGCTACAAGGCACACTTCAAGGGCACTGGTGCCTCACCCTCAATTGCTATATGTTCAGGGAACACAAACTAATTTTAATGTTCGACTAACCTAAAATATTAGGGGGATAAATAGCTGGCAGTTGCTACAATGGATTTCAAAATTGAATGAATAAATAATTTGGGGAGCGTGTGCCTTTTGGATGCATGCATCCATGAACCATTAACTTAGATTATTGTTGACTGTAGTCATCACATTGGAATGTTCTATTTGATTCAGCCCCACCACCCAAGTTTTTAAAAGCAAATTTTATCTTAATAATTGTAGTGCTCTTCATCACCTCTCAAATGTGAGATTAAAATAGATTTTCTCAAAATTTCTAAGATGCTTCATAAATGCTCATTCTCACACGAGTGAATTCCATCCTAGCCCAAGTATTGCTAGAGTTAGGTAGACAATTCGTCTAGAATGGTATGTGGTCTGGGGAAGGTCCTTGAGGTCAAAGCTATTTGCATAATAGCATTAAGATGTCATTTGCCCTTTTATCTGTGTTGACATTGACAGTGATGATACAAAAGCAATGGGAATAAAATGCTGTACCTTAGCTCTAATCAAGGCAGGGGCAAAAAAAATGTATTAATAGTCACTCTCTTCTTTACCACCATGCCCTGATAGAGAGAGAGAAAGAGAGAGAGAGAGAGAGAGAGAGAGAAGGAAGGAAGGTTTATTTAAAAGTATCCTTGCCCTGGCCGGGTGTTCAGTTGGCTAGAGTGTTGTCCTGTACACCAAAAGGTGATGGGTTCAATTCCCCATCAGAGCACATACCTAGGTTTCGGGTTTGATCCCTGGTCATAGTATGACTGAGAGGCAACCGATCCATGATTCTCTTTCACATCAATGTTTCTCTCTCTCTCTCAAAAAAAAAAAAAAAGTCAATAAAACATATCCTCTGGTAAGGATTTGGGGGGGAAGGGGAAGAATGGCTTTGATGGAACAGTAAAAATTATTAACTTTATTAAATCTTGACCCTTGAGTACAAGATTTTGAAAAGGTATTTGTGACAAAATGGTAGGAACATATAAAATATTCCTGCTGCGTACTGAAGTCCATCAGTTGTCTCAAGGAAAACCTTTTCTGAGATCATTTCATATAACTGCTTTTTTCGGGGAATATTATTTTTACTTGCAAGACTGACTGACAGATAAACTGTGGTTCCTCGCACTTGGGTATTTCTCAAAAAAAAAATGCATGAAGTGAGTCTGTAACTTCAAGAGAAACAATTCATGGTATTTTTGGCAATGATAATGTCTGCAGTTACAAATGAAAACTAGAATTTTAGATAACTGGTATCCATCACTATGAGCTTAACAGCTTCCTAAGACTTTTCTGATGAGATTCATGGTGATGTTAATGAATGTGATTTTCTGATACTTTATCGACATTTTTGAAGAACTGCATAACTGAGGGAACCAATCTTTTCCAAATGACCAGAGCTTGATGTTTCAAAAACCATGCTGTAGGAAAGGACCCATTCAAAGTACAAGGCCAACTAATGGATTTTAATGTAAGAGTATTAAAAGTTCATAGATATAATTTCAGATTCCACTTGTCAGTAACTTTTATGAAACTCCCACTCATCGAGTTTTGGTGTAGTGTCAAAGAAGGGTATCCACAATTATTTGAAAAGGCTTTAAAATACTCCTCCCTTCCATCAACTACATATCTATGTGTGACTTAATTTTTTTTCAAAAAATTAACCAAAGCAACATATCACAACAAATTAAATGCAGAAGCAGACATGAGAATACCTGTCTCCTAGTAACCCAAACATTATAGAGATTTGCAGAAATGTAAAATAAGGCTACTCTTCTTTCAAAAAATATAATTGTTTTTCATAAGAATGTATTAACTTGTATTGTATTTATTATTATCATTTACATATGAATTAATAAGTAAATATTTTTAAAAGCCCACAGTTGTAATATAGAATATAGGACATATCAGACATAACCCACATATATGAAGGTTCTTTGGGGCCCTCAATAACTTTGAAGTGTATAAAGGTGTCCTGATTCAAAAGGTTTGAGAACCACTGCCCTAGAAATTAATTGAGATGCAGTGAAAAAGAAAAAAAGAACAT